ATATAAACGATAAATGAAAACTATTAATGTAAAAAAAAGTACCTGTTTATATATATAAAAGCACGTGTGTGCGCGTAAAGGTTACACGCACACACGTGCGTGTAACCTTTACGCGCGATTGAAGTAAAACTTCTTTGGAGTTGATAAATAATAAATATCTATATCGTTGAGTTCTTAAATAATAAATATCATGTTTTAATTTAATTATATTTATTATTTATGTGCTTCATAAAGATTATTACTACGATAATGTCAATTTTCAATTTCTTTAATAGTAAGGTTTATACAATCTTCAATTGGTGTTACAATAACCCTTCTTACGCACTTAAGCAAAGCGGCAACTTAATTAACCGAAGTCGCGTCGTATCACGTCGCAAAGTCTGCGGAAAATATTTCAAAACGCCCTAGATTTGAAATATTTTCCAGGGACTTACTGCGTTAGAAAACTCTTTGTTACTCTCGGAGAGGTTTTCATTAACCATCGTCGCGAAACTTCGGCTTAATCCTGAAAGCTTATGCTAAAGCGACACGAAAACTTCGAGCTCCACCGAGTCAGCTGATAGTTCGAATGGTGAAACTTGTAACAAGTTTAAAAGTTGGAATATTTAGTTGAAATAATTTAAGATTTGTGAAATAAACGAAATTTCGTTGAGACCAATATTTTATGATTTATAATTTCAATTGTTTCACTTTTTTTCATATTTCACAATTTAAAAATACTAGAGCTGAAAGTGATACAATGTTTTGTTAGCACAGATAACAGTAATTAACCACAGATGAAACAAATTTTAGATCAATACTTTACTATACTTTGCGGTAACGTAACGAGAGCGGGGAAGTAAATATTTGCAATATTTTTCTTCGACCAACAGCCACACTGTTTCGCGGGGATCGATGTAAACAGTTTTTAATCGGCTGAACAAGCGGTGTTGGTTACACTTCAGTGGGTTACCATATATTATATTACTTTCATTGGGACAATCTCTCTAAAGTAGTAATAAATTAACTGTGGTAGGGACATATAAAAGTCTTCACTGTTGCACGAATGGGCAGGTCAGTCCGGGGAAGTACCACGACAGTACCACACAAGTAAACTGGAGGTGTTACACTTCTGCGTTTCGTTTGGTGAGTGAGGTAAGCGGAGCCCACTTTATTAAAAGGCAATGCATCTGCAACCCCACGGGTGTTGCAAATGCCCACGGGCGGCGGTTATCTCTTAATATATGTCTTCATGAGAATGCCTTATTCATTATCATCATCATTTCAGCTTGTTTAAGTCCACCGCTGAACATAGGTTTCAACGACCAATAAGATAAGCAACGCCAACCCTTCTGATGTAAATATGCATACTCATACCTAAAAGTATCTTAGTTTAGTTATATATATATAAACTTCCTCACCATTACACTTTAAGCAGATTGGCTGTGGTAGTCTATTGGGTTTCTCTACAATCTTCTTTACACCAGCTTTACAGTTAACTTCCTCATAACCTTCGTAAATAGAACACAGTTGTTAATGGAAAATATGTAACACTACAGAAAAAGCTTAAAGTTTCTAATTTGAACTCGGTAAATGAGATTATGATCTGCTTATATATGTATACAAATTCTTCCTCTTGCTGTTATTGCATCATTCCCATTTCGTTTATCCAGTAACATTAATCCAGAATTATGCTAAAATGGTGTGGTCAACCTACACTAAGCGAAACACACCTCAGTTTAAACGATCTGAGGAAGAAATTTGTAAGGACAACATCAATTAGTCAATATTTTCTTTTTTCTTTGGGGGATTTCTTCAGAGTGTCAAAATATTTATTGGACCCGTTGCGCTGATTTTCATTTTGAAATACAAAACAATTTTGAGTTGTACGGGAGATATTATCCTCAATTAGTAGGCCTATATGCTTGAACAGCACCTATACAAACAAATATGTTTGAATATGGCCTTAATATGTAAGGTCTCAGTGATGCTACTTACAGTATCTGAGACGATTATGCATAGCAAAATATTTACAATTATTTTTTTTTATTTACCATCTACTAGGATAGGCAAGCGGGGGGCTTGCTCCATTGCATAGACTAGCACAAAAAAAATCAAAATTAATTTCCATAGCAAAGGCTAGACATCTCTAGTTTTCAAATATTCATTATAAACGGAAATCTGAGAAAATGTAGTCCTTCAGAATTTCTAAAATTTCAACAAGATTTCACCCATAATAGTATAATTCAACTTAACTGAATATTGTCAGGCGACGGGACCGTTACCATCTGTTTATAATGATAACAAAATTCAGCAAAAATAAAATATTTCGAGTACATTTATACTCGTAATAACTTATAATCCTAACGAGGCAAGTTAAATGACTAGCAACTCGTCTGAACATAGAGTTCCGCAACTAAAATATTTCAGAGGTTCCGTGAAATTTCGAAACCATCGGACCGTTCTTAGAAGTTTGCACAGTGTTTTAATTAAAATAATTTAAAATATAATCGCTTTAGAACCGGGAGTTGCTAACAAGGGAAGTTGGGAGGAATTCCATCCAAACGGCGGAGCGGGAGTTGGGTACAAGACAAAATAATAAAATATTAATAAAGGCCCGGAGACGTTGGAAAAGTTTCATCGGGGCCAAATATTTGTGTTTCAAATAAGGCGCGCTCGCGATACTACGGGCTTGGTCCGGACTCGAACCGGGTGCCTTAATTACTTTAATTGCAAGCTACGCTAAAATATATATATTCCACTAAAGCGGACGATACGGCACACAGAAAAGGCACAGGGTAAATCTTTTATACTATTTCCTTCCCTATATAAAGACTAATGTTTCTTTATTTCGTATTCGTGAATGAAAACTTGGTAAAATATTGTCGCTCTGCTCTCGCCAAAGTCTCAAAGAGGGAATTATATGTAAGAGGTGTTTGAGATTCAATTTTAGTTCAATAGTATTTAGACTGTTTACTTGCCAATGTGCCAATATAAACCGAATTGAATGACTTAGCACTTGTAGTTTATTCTAAAAAACATGTAAGGCGATGACTCGCATTATATTGATATATCTATGACCACTGCTAGTCATCTGTGCTTTTGGGAAAGAAGAATACGTACGACTGTATGTCAAGATATTTTTTTTCGAGTCTCGTATTCAGCAATTTAACGAGTGATTACGAAGTTCCGTTTTTATGTGCCATTAAATAAAAAAAAATAAAGTTATTGTTATAGGTTATTAATTATGCCATATTTCAACACACTTAATCAATAACTATTTGTAAAGGCAGTGAAATTCTGAAACCCATGAACGCAACGGTTTTTACCCGCGAACTAAAATAGCAGAGCGGGAAAACCGACTAACTACAATAAAACCGTTTCATTGAAAGCTATTAGAACCGAGTGCCTAGTTGTAATAAAATATTAAAATAGTTGGTTGGCGGAGCCAAGCCCCCCGGGCGTACTGCGAAAATAAATCAAATAAAACTCCGACTAACTTGTTAAAATTCCCTCTTTGCATTTCAGTCGATTGTTCGAGAGGGGTTTTTCGTCAGCGGACAAATGTTCAATAAGTTTCGGTTTTATCTGTTTCGTCTTTTTCATCTAAAATTAAATATTAATAAGTATCCATTATGTTGTCAATATAATACACTGCACTATATTATGCCATAACAAGTATTGTAAAGACATTGTATGTTCGTATGTATATTCAGAAGATACGCCCCGTCTTTATTACATGGTTTAAAACAAACTCGCTTCCACTGTTTGTAATAATGCAGTTTTTAATGCAGCAATATATAGAATGATTCAATTGGAGGGTTTAAAGGTGTTTTTCTTCATAAGACAGTGCAAACATCTTTTTAAGATATACAATTCCGTGCTACATTAATGTGATTTATCTCGTAAGGTTTAGCTAGCGTTTGCAATGTAAGCGCAGAAAAATATGTTTGTCACTACATCACATTACAAGTCTTTGATATTTTTCGACTTTTCTATACTACAATACGCACGTAACCTACAGACTGATGACCTGTGAAAATGTGCGCGATGTCGATGGATACAGCTAATATGGCAGTCTATGGGGGAGACCTATGTTAAGCAGTGGACTCGATCAGACTGAAATGATGGCCAAGTGCGTATACCACGAATAATGGTATGTATACAATAAGACCAATTTTTACAGGGAAGTACAATGGCCTCAGAAGATTTACTTGTGGTTTGTAACAATTCGTAAATGGTTAGTTTAACAAACTGAGAAATATATAAAACCCGGATAAATACATGATGATAGGTTTCATACGTGTAAGAAACTACATTTCCAATACCATGAAACCCAATACCATACCGTGAAATTATAGGTTTACATGTAAAAAAAAACCGTCCAAATACGAGTTGTACTCGCGTGCGAAGGGTTCCGTACCATTATCTACAAACAAGGTAAAAAAAATCATGTCTGGTGTATAAGAGATTATTTTTTAGATATTTTTTATTCTGTTTTTTAATATTTGTTGTTATAGCGGTAGCAGAAGCACACCATCGGTGAAAATTCCAGCTGTTTAGCTATCATGGTTCATGAAATACAGCCTGGTGACAGATGGAAAGACAGCGGAATCAATAATAGGGTCCCGTGGTCCTTTGGGTACGGAATCCTAAAAATCGAAAAACAATCGTAAGCAATTTAGCCTATCATCAAAACAAAATTTATTTGACAAATTTTAATTATTATTTTTTGTTATTCCCTTTCAATATTTACGACATTTTGTAGTTGCAAGAGCGATGCCAATCCTAAAATGAAGAGAATATATGAACTCTCTCGAATAAGAAGGCCTTCGGTTAACTCTCTCAAGTCGAAACGAGGAGACGCGGATACACACTACTATTTACGTCGGTTTCTTTCGTCTAAAACTGTGACCCTATCAGAGTACTATAGGACTTTTAGCATAAATCCTTATATAGCGAATATTTATTTTATATAAAAATAAATGAAATTAAACAGTAATGAAGGTAGAATTTTCCTAGGCCTTGTTTTCGCAAGTTTTAGACACCTCCAATCGGATACGCGCCCTTCTGTCAGTGCCGGATCCGAAGCGGGCCGCGGCGTGTGTAATTGAAAATAAACACGAGTTGTTGCGGCCCGTATCAATCAGTGATGGCGGGCGATAGTCTTCCCGCGCAAACATCGGGGAGGGGCGGCCGATGGCCTCAGAAAACTCCGCCACACGAGGGTGATGGCACAATTGGCAGATTGTTGTGTTCATTTTGTCACTCCTTAATTTCATTAACTTATCACGTCCTGCGGGTGAAAGAAAACGTCGTGAGGAAAGCTGCATTTTTTCGAAATAGTAATAAATACAATATTTTTAAGTTATAAATAAGTCTGCTCATACGCGGTGTGGTCGCGCGATGCACTATGGTCTAATCCAGTATAAAGGAGTCCTTTGCCAAATACTGGGATATATATGAGTTGTTATTTTAATTTCGTAAGCCGCTAGTGATTTGTTTCGCTAGTACAAAAGAACTTGTTTTAAGGTACTTGCGCACAGCATTCGATATACCAGATTATTTTAAAAAAATTTGCTTTTTGCGATTTGCTGGTCCCACCCATAACCGTTAAAGCTTTCCACACTGAACTTCTCTACGAATGAAAGTGACAACGTCCTATAAAGAGCTTTTTTGTGAAAATTTATGAGCAGCTGGATCACCTGATGTTAGGAATTTACCGCCGCCCATGGACATCTACAACACCTAACTGGTTCCAGGGAAGTCACTTACCAGACGAAACGCGAAAGTATACACGCCGGTCTTCTGTGAGGCCTTGGTACTTCGGAAGGACGAAATAAAGACGAAATTACGAAGTTTTATTAGCCTGATCAATCATTTTCTCTGAGCCTTTGATGACGCCTGACGCACCAGTTCAAAGGCCTATTTAGGGTCTCGGAAAGAAACTCCTTGTGCATTTGAAGCAAGCACGGTGGTACGGCCACACCGCAGCTTCAGCTGTTGCCTGAATGGGCAGGCTCATCCGAAGAAGTATCACGACCTCACAAAAGACCTGCGTAAAGTGGAAGAATAATAATTCACGTTTTGTCTGATAGTAGTCAGGGCCTTATTTGATAAGGTTGTCAACGCATCAACAAACCCTCGGGCTTAGCAGATGCCCATGGACAGCGGTATTCACTTAACATCAGGCTAACCGCATACTTGACAACTTTTGAAAAAAAAAAGACATAGCCCCGTAGAGACAGCGAAATGAACAAACGATTTCCGGACAGAACAACAGCGGGACCCTCATTATGGCGCGACATTTCCACGGATTTTCGACGTAGCACCCTCGAGGTGGACGTGCGTCGAGCGCGTGCCGCAAACACGCCCGCGTGCGGACGCAACCCGGGCAGATATTACGCACGCTACAACACTGGCGCGTGGCGACGCCTGTGGCGACTCACAGACCGTGTTAGATTGACGCACTCGATGTCATCGCATACGGCTCGGATATAGTTAGCGACAACTGCTACTACTATGACTATCGTGAACGGCACACAACGCGTCGTTGATATGTATCGTACAATTAATTGAAAACTGTATTTACGGATTTAGTAATGTGTAATCACGTAAATACAAAAAAATAACAATAATGCATCGTATAACCATAGTTATAGTTCCGCATTCGCGACAATTTGACAAATGAAAACTCGAGCAGGTGTCCGCCGTTTGGTTGAATATTGGTATTTGGAGTTTCAAAAATAAAGTAGGAAACGATATGCGTTTTAAAAGTTAAATCATCAAAAATCCATCATCTTACTTTCGTGGCGAAAATCTTCAGGATATACGTATACACATATACATGCAAAGTACGTATATGCAAGTTAGCGAATCGCCGTTCATTAGCCGACAAACGTTGTTATTAACTAGCCCAGCCTCTCGAAGTTTCCGAACACAATTAAATTCTTCGGCGACGTCGGCGCCGCGGAGTGGGGATCTTGCCGAGTTTGGGGTTCTTGGGGAAGGGATTTAATCCGTAGTCAGCAAGGGAAGGCACGAGTGCTCCGCTATCTCGTTGCGCACTCACCGGCTCCTTCATTGCCGAGTTTGTCACAGAACGAGGTTGTGAGGGATCGTCAGCGATAATTCTCTTGATATCGGATTATTGTTTTGTTATTTTTTAACTCGTACTGCTGTGGTAAACGGACAGCTTGTGAAATATACTCTATAACTGGTGTAGGTATACAAGAAAACAATGAAAAGAAAAGAATACTGGTACAAAATTTGTCTTATAACGGTATTTTACCTTTTAATAAAGTGGAACCCGGGTCCCTCACTCTTGAAATAACACTTCCAATTCATGCCAGTTTTCTGTGAGGACGTGGTACTTACCCGGGCGGACCTGCCTATTCGTGCAACAGCCGAAATTGATCCGGCACCGTACCGTCTACCACAGTAATTATAATTACTGTGGTAGACGGTACGGCGCCGGAATATATATGTATTGAACATAATGCAAGAATTATCCATTCCATTGAAACTGCGATAATCTGTCCAACATACAACAACATATTTTCATTCAGTATCTATTTATTTCTAATAAAGTTATAGAACTTTTCCAGTGTTGTTATAGCACACATGTACTTATATACGCGTATCAGCAGGTTTAAGCGATAGTTTCTTTGTATGGACCATATATAAAAATATTTGTCAATACGGTATTGGGTATTACGGTATTTTCAATACCTTATCGCTTTCAGCCTCATGTATGTTTTCACTTTTAGAGACTTCGTAAAGTTACATTGAAAGGCCTTGAAAAAGCTAGTATTTACTTCTAGTACTATTCTCAAGGCCTTCTGTATTTCAAAGGACAAAGGAATTAGAAGAGTTTGAATACGAGACGTTAGTTAGCTTGGACGATGCAAACTTGGGTGGATGTAAAATTTACATTTAATTACACAAAACCGGACTAATGTCCGTAATAATACAACGGCGGGAGGAAATTAAACGGCATCACCCGCCGCGTGGCGCCTTGTGTTAGTTCAGTGCTCGTTTCTTCATAATTGCTTGTCCTTCTGTGCAAATAGAGCGACTTTAATGAATTCCTTGCCATTTCATGTTTATTTTTTTCTTCTTTCGCTTAATAACGGACTCTATAAGCTAACGTCCCTTTCAGATGCGAGTTAAATTTGGTCTTGCTTTCAGCTTTGCTCTATGCAGCTGCATTGATTGCAGTGCGATTGGAGAGCACAATTTCACAGTAAAGTACCTACTGGTAACTATAGTACTTATAGTACTTACTATCAGTTCTTTACTGCGAAATTGTGATCATGGTAAAACTGATTTACCGAAGTTTAATGTTTTGTTTTAACATATATAATTATTTAATTAAGATTTCTTTCTTTCTTCTTTCTAACGTGTTTTTAATATGACGGAGTTTGCTTAACACGGAACGATGCAATTAATTAACATCAGACGTACCGCTAAGTCCACGACCAAAGACTGGAAGTCTGGCAACCCAATACATAAACCATCACTACCTTTAATTATTGTCAACAATACGACAATAATTGTGGCTAGTGGTTGTAAGCGATATTCTACACAGCGCTCGAGCATTTCCAATTAATTACAACCGCATCGAGCCTCGCGCGGCCACAATAGCCTCACGATTAGATGATATATATATGTATATATATACTGTATAAACATAGGTCAGCATAGGGATACACAGCGAAGTCCTTATTGACCATACGTTCTTAATACGTACAAAAAAATACAGACTATTGCTAAACTGCGTAAAGTCATGATACATCTAGAAGTTTCCAATGTATTTAGATTCTTATAACGCATAGAATTCTTTGGATCCTCTCCTAACTATTCTTCTATAGGGATAACTGATAATTATGATAATTCAATTCAAAATTGTACATCATAGATGTATAGAATTGTAGATGGAATTATAGATTCCTCTCAAGTTTTTGCTACATTTCAGTTGATTGTTTTACTATCTTCTTACACGTTTGAGTTGTTTAGTACTTAAAATCTAAATAAAAGTTCAATTATTATGTTATTTTCGATGATTTATTAAATAATACAATGGTAATAATAAAATATGTTTAAAAACTGTGCATAAAACGCATCATTTGAACTTTTCAACTAAAAATTTATAAGTTTAAAACCATACAAAAGCGGGGCTCAAGTAATACCGTGTTTGGAATCCACACGAACACCTAAATAATACCAATACACGAGCGACAAACAGTCACCATTGTCCACCTACGAGTTGCAATCGCACGTTTAACAGTTAAATTTCACCAGAAACGCCATCAAATTCAAAACGTCATAAACTTTAAGGGTACTGGTGGTCCTTCCGACGTTTAGAAGCTGAGTGGGGAGATGCAAGCCCCCTGCGTGACGCGTTAGTATTTATTAAGGGGAATTATATGTGGATTCGTTGATTTGGACAGATTCGTCGCGCGGGATTTGAGGAGATTTATGGGTATGACGGTCGAAGGTCGCGTCTGGCGATGTATTGTTCTGTTTAGCACGTCATTTGTATCGCTCAATATTGCTTGTGGGTCATTATTCGTGCTATCGATGGGGAATGTTGGTTTATTGAAATGGCTCAACGAATTGAAATGTCGCTCTCAATTTGCTAATTATAATAATAAATAATCGTCGCAGCCATGCGAATGCCTTACTAATTAAATACGTTTTCTGGTACAGTAGGTAATTTGCTAGCGCCAGAATTTAAGTCGACGTTAGGTCCCTAGTATTGAATATATGTTCTGAGTATTAGTATTTGTAGAAATTTTATCTTATTTTACAAAAATCGTGTTCAGGCTTCGGATTAAGCCAGATATAATACTATTTATATCCCAATGTCTGGGCGTTCCCTTTTATTGAAATTGTTATTAAGTGTTGAATTATCACGTGCTTAGCGTTGAAGGAAAACATCGTGAGCAAACCTGGATACTTTTGTAATAAGAATTAAAAATATTTCGACAACATGTAAAGTCTGCCAAACCTTGTGGGGTAGTGGTGGACTATGTCCTACTGAGACATAAATAGAGTATAAATTTACTTTACATTCTCACATAAAGAAATATCGTTTTTATCGATAACTGGTTATATTTTCAAATCGCAATTTGTACAAAACTTAACGTTATCAAAATATCGTTGACATGTCCTTCTTAATCGTTTACTGGATCCGAAATCCGTGCACAATCAAAGCGCAGCTTTGTTGTAGGCGATAGAGGGGTTTATTTATTTTTTATGGTCTGACAAATTCGCAAGGATAGACCTGGGGGGCGGTATCGTAATGAAATGCGGTGTAAACAACGGCCGTATTCCTCCGAGAGCCCTCCCCTAATCTCGGCTTCTGTATACGTTTTTTGATTCGACAAGGCCCTCCATACGGATTTGGACGCTATGAAATTGTTTGTGGAATCGTTTAGCAAAATATTAATACAAGTAGTGACTGTTGTTATTTGTAAATTTCGGAAAGTTTAAAAAGAAAGAGAAAAAACAATCACATTTTCAAAATATTTTTTTTATCATTTAAATTCTATGTGGTTAATAAATAGCTTCAAAAACAATATGAATGAAGCGAGTGAAGATTTGATTTGCATTTGATATAAATTATTTACAATTTTTAATAAAGGGCTGTTTAAACAAATTTGAACGTACCCAAGTGGGATTTTAGCGAGGTTGATGTCACGTGTAACGTAAACGTAGCATTCGTAATGAAATCTTTTACCTTGATCTACCCATCACGTTTATATGCACAGAATTGATAGTGCAAGACGGGGTGAGTAGACACGTAGTTGTGTAGCGAAGATTTACCGGTGGTAAAACTCAGAGCTCCTGCAATTAAAATGTAAGTAAACAGTTTACCGTGTACTGAGAATTTCAGTTGGTTAACGTGTAGCATTGTTCACTTCAGGAAAACATGGAACAATTACCCAGATTTATTTTTTTATGGTAGAAAATGGACATCCTTAGGCTCGGTTGAAGACGCATCGCCAACCTTTCAAATTGTAGCAACCTTTAAAACCGGTCGCCACACTAGACGTCACACAAAAGAGCTTCTTCTTGACGCCTGTCTTCTAATAGGCTGTGGTAAGTCCTGCCACAGCTGCTGGATCATTCCTGCCACAGTTAAACGTTTTTAAAACATAACTAAGAGTAATATAAGTGGTTTTGGCCTTAGAGTACAATCCACTAAGCGACCCCACCGCGGATTTATAGACATCACGTATCTTCGAAATATAAAAAGCGAAAATATGCCAAGCTTGCATGATGTTTTCCCTGACCGCAGAGCACATGATGAGTCAACACCTAAAATTGCAATTAGCAATTTCATTGGAATTTAACTCAGGTTGCTTGAATATATTGGATTGGCGAGCGCTCGGACACAGCTATCATGGATCACGGGTATTGACGTATCTAAGACAAAAAAAAACTAATTAATATTCACCGTTATTTCTGAATACACAGCAGCGTCATTGACA